GACTTCTGCCCTTGTGATGTGGTGGTTGTTTTTGTATTCATACGTGCGCGTGTACTCGTGTCGCCGTCTTCTGTGCTAGATTGTGTGCTGACCTCTGCCCCTTGTGATGTGTTGGATGTATTTGTATTCATACGTGCGCGTGTACTCGTGTCGCCGTCTTCTGTGCTAGATTCTGTGCTGACTTCTGCCCCTTGTGATGTGGTGGTTGTATTTGTATTCATACGTGCGCGTGTACTCGTGTCGCCGTCTTCTGTGCATGATTCTGAGCTGACTTCTGCCCCTTGTGATGTGGTGATTGTTTTTGTATTCATACTTGCGCGTGTACTTGTGTCGCCGTCTTCTGTGCTAGATTGTGTGCTGACTTCTGCCCCTTGTGATGTGGTGGTTGTCTTTGTATTCCTACGTGCGCGTGTACTTGTGTCGCCGTCTTCTGTGCTAGATTCTGTGCTGACTTCTACTCCTTGTGATGCGGCGGATGTATTTGTATCCATACGAGCGTATGTACTTGTGCTACCCCCTTCCGTACTTGATGCTGCGCTAAATTCTATTGTTCGTGAATTGAACGATGTGTTTGTATTTATGCATGCATGCGTACTTCTACTTGTCTGGGCTGGAATTGCAGGATGGTAGCCTTCGCTTCTACGTTTCTTATTTATTGCTTCATGTATGTTGATAACCGTATTCCGCGCTCGTGCCTTCCGTATATTGTACTCGTCTCGTGTTTTTGTAGTTGAAATGAGTTTTCGTGTACCTTTTCGTTTTGATGAGGTAGATCATGTGTTGCTACGAGTGTTACTTGTGTTTGCGCGCAGAGGTGTGTTTCCTGCTACTCTTTGCATATATTCAGCTAGTTGTTGACCATTCTTATAACCTCTAATTGATTGTACAGGGGGATATGTGATATTCATTGCACCGAACGATCGATTTGCAATGAATGATCGATTTGTGTTTTATGAATTAGATTTCAAACTGGGTGGTTGTAAGTCTTGCTGTTTGCGAGTTGTGACACTGTCCCTCCAATTGACAATATGACTGCTAACACTGTTACCGACACCCTGCTTCTCTTCCTGCTGAGTGCTTGTGCCGGTAGCAATTGAACATGTTCCATGTCATCTTCAGAATCAGATACATGGTTGTCCATTGACCCGTCACTTCCACCATTCTCACCGTCTTCTCCCGCCATCGCAACAGGTAATGTCAATCACTATACTATCCCTGTCTAATCCCTCTAATACTGTCTACAAACTATGTGACTGTGACTGTGATCGCTAAAGTATGGCGTGCATTTAAGTGATGTAAACCTACTATGTAACTATACCACCACTATGGATGTACTAGCTACCACTAGTAAACAAGTAAATGAACTTAACAAGACTTAAAAGACCTAGGTAAGATGCTCAGCGACCAGTGGTAGGAGTCTTGCTACCACAGGTTCCGCTGTTTGGTCAGTGTGGTCACTGGTCAGTGTGTACGGGTGACAACGTTTGCTTGTAAATATGCTTGTGCACACTACATACGTTTGCAAAATTAAATACAAACAAGTCGGTTGTCGTAAAGCACCTATAATGGAATTATTTGGGTATTTCGTGTCCTAAAATGGCACTATACCTAAATTTTAGGACCAGACTGGATGGGCCTGGTCGATCAATGTTGTATTCTGATTAGTGTTTGGAAATTGACGGGTTTATTCGATTTCGTTGTCCTAAAAATAAAACTATTTCTTCTCCAATCAGTTTCAGTACAATATTTTATTAAAAATATATGTTCCAGTGTGTGATGAAGCACATACTGGCAGCACAGGTAGCCATCTATAATCCAATAGAATCCCACCTCATTTTTCAAAATATCTGGAAACTACAATATTTAACTCCTTTGTTCGGTGAGAAAACATCAAGTGGCAAATAAATGAAAATGAAGAAAAAAAGAAGAATTATATGTATCTGTTTACATATCCAAATTCCGCACAATTTTATATATATAAAAACCCCAAAAGGCCAAAACTGTCCTCCTAATTTTCAGGAGGTTAAAAAACTGTATAATTCAAAAGGCTATGAAAAAACTACTATTTTTTGGGCTGGAAAACCATAATCTTTATTTCAAAACCCTGAATGTTTTCTTAGAGACGGTGCGCGTGAGAGCTGTGCCCGAGTGAGTTTAAAAGCCAAATCGACAGATTTTCCCAGCAAGATAGTATGTAAGGCTTCCAACTCTGTGACTGAGTAGAGCTGCTGTGCCGAACTCCAGCGAGTAGATGCAAATAAAACTGGCAACATCACATCATTGCGTTTTATATATTTAAATACAATGCAACTCACAACCCATACGGCTCGCATCTGTGAATAGAACCGATATATCAACTTCCCGTAGCGACACTAACGGTGGAGCCTCTCCTAATGCGGCTAAGAAAGACATGCATGAACCAGCTTATTCTGGTCCCCAAATAAATTTCGCCCCTTTCTTCAACAGCATATCGACTGTTTGCTGAAATAAAGTGAAGTTTGGTACATAGCGATGCCATCAGTTAGCTGTAACACAGAGACTTCGAAGTTACTTGTTCGTGCTTGAAACCCGCACTTCTCTTAGCACACGCCTTTGCGGCCTCGTCTTCGATTTGAGACGCATCCTGACCAATGATGCGCACAAGGAATTCGACTTGCAGTTTTGTAAATTTGCATTCACTCAAATTATGACGTTCCGCTTCTTCAATCGCCGCAGCACTTTTTCTATCAGCGCCATATGCTCGGCAATTGTCATAAAACACAGAAATGTATCATTTATGTAAATGACCATATCCTTCTCGAGATCGTCAATGAACTCCTTTATGTGTGAACAAATGAAGGGTAAATCTGATATGCATTACAGTTTAACAATAATCCATATTTTCAAAGGTAAATGTCGTGTAGCTCCTTGGCGTTATTGACAATAACTTGACCTGCCAATATAATTTGATATAATTTAGTATAATATATACTACACCCAGAGGCTTCATGTATCAGGTTTGTGTCCTTTTGTGGACACGGCAAATAACTCACGATACTTAACCTGGCAATTCATAAGCACCAGCTTCGCACAAACTTGACTGGAGATTTCTGCAATGTCTTCCAATCGCACCATTCGATTACTCGTTCATTGAGCATACATGGTCAATATCTTCTTTTGAAGTACCACTCTCTTCTCAAAAAATTCTCTTTGTAGCTCACGTATTCTTGGGAGTAGCACAAACCTGCAAATTAATCACGTGCTCTGCTACCTCGATCGTTTAGTATTGTCCATCTGTCTAACACATCTCCGTCAAAAGCTCATAGATGGCGGCAGTTACCCATTCTTCCGGTACAGGCATCTCTTTACGGGACAAGTCTGCTTCTCGCCAAGAAAGGCTGTAGTCAAAAACGAGTAGCGCTTAGTAAAGAGTACTAAGTCTGAAAAAAAAGAAGGTCACAGGAGATATATAACAAGAGATTAGATGTCAACACCAGTAAGAAGATCTAGGTGATCACAGAGTATATCATAAACACGTATAGGCAACATCTGTAATAACAACAACAACTAAAGCTCCAAAGACTTCTCAACCCCATAAACGGTCACCGGATTAGATGTCAACACCAGTCAAAAGATCTAGGTGATCTCAAAACGAATCATAGACGCGTAAAAACAACATCTATGTTATATGCAAGAATAATTACGTGTTCCTTAAATTATAAAGAATTCTAAACTCCATAGACGATCACAGGCTACTTAAACCAAAGATCGAGTGTCATTACCAAGGAAAAGATTCATGTGATTTCAAAGCAACATAGACATGTCTGAGCAACATCTTGGTAACAACAAGAATAGTTGCGTGTCACAAATACATCAAGAGCACAAGAGGGATACAATAAACACAACAGATAGAAGAAAAAGTAAGATGCAATCTAAATCACCGACTTACAAAACCGAAATCGTAGGCAAACACTACTGAAATCAGTATGAATGTCATGGAATAAAAGGAAGACTTTTAGGATAAGCATAGACAGTCATAATTCCTTAACAGTCACAGGCATAGCTACCAATATCTAAACTTCATAGATATTTAGAGATACACGCACCAAAATATACATATGCCACACCAACCTGATTCAAAAATACATAAGACACATCACAAGAAACAGACCACATGCATCGAAAGTAATAAACCAACACATGCTATAAAAATAGAGCATCCCACACTCGAAGTAAAGACAATATCGACCCATAAAGAAGGTGAAGTACACGAGCACAGCAACAAGAAGAACAACTTCTTTTAAGGTATACACAAAACATACAAAGTATAATTCGAACAGAACATATATGTATGCACACCACATACACCGCAGACAGTGACATATCACAGTTCGGTACTGTTTCGAAAGCCCAAAATATTTTTTATGGAAGTTCGGTATTCAAAACAATGCATAGATCATAAATATGACGAAAAGCAACAAAATCAGGTTTATAAAACAAGAAACTGAGTTTACAAAAAATGACCCAATAAACCTACATGAACCAAAGTTTATCTCCTCAAACCAAAAATGCCACAAATAAACCCAGGAACTACGAGCACAGCCAGTCCCAACAGACCAAGTGTACAAGCAACAACCTAACAGATTGATACCAGAAGTAGATCAATGGTTATCAGAGCTATGCACTAAAGCTATGAGGTTGTGGACTGTGATAAAAGTGCTCACGATGAGTGCATTGCAATCAGTGTCTTTTTGAGCGAGCTAACACTATTTAGATCACATGTAGGGGACAAAATCTTAGAAGCAGAGATGGACAAGCTACTCAACATGAGTGAATTTCCCAAGTGGCCGATTAAGAAGTACGTTAGCATGGTTGACTGTCGTGATACAATAGAGTTTGTGTCTGTAGCAAAAGACCTGTTTGCGAGCACCAACATGTCATTGATACAGTATCTGTCACTCGTACAAGAATTGTTACGACAGACATGCGCAACAAAGGTATCGCGCACAGCGTAGTTCCAAACAGCTCTGGAAGGATTTCACTAATGAAAGACTACAATATGTTAATCATTGACAACTTGCGTTGCACCCCAATATACTATCTATTACAGAAGTGGCTCAATGACTTCTATGACACTCGCATGAACATTAATGTACGGGCAGCAAGATCGCGTCTCACAATGCTGGAGTTGGAGAAACAGTACAAGAACACAGAGAGAGAGTCCCCTAATTGGCAATTTCTCAAGTATCACGCTACCAATCACTAGTCATGTATGGATAGCAAGCTGAAACTGATAGACTAATAAAGGTTCAAAGGAAGCCTGATGATAGTAGTGGACAATTATCTGATATATCAGAGAAAGTATTCCATGAAATCGCTGGATATCTTATCAGACAAGCAAAAAGTCACACAGGCCAATCGCAATCGTGAACGCAAGCGAGTGAGAAACGCACCCATCCTAGACCAACGAGTCAATCGTCCGAGACTTGACATACCCACAAGAGGTCTACCCTAATAAAGGCTCAAAGAAAGCCTGATGGTAGTAGTGGACACTTACTTTATATATCAGAGAACGTATTCCATGAACTCACTGAAGATCTTATCATACAAGCAACAATCACACAGGTTAATCGCAATCGTGAACGCAAGCGAGTGAGAAACGTGCCCATCCCAGACCAACGATTCAATCGTCCGAGACTTGAAATATTCACAGGAGGCCCACCCAGAGGGGTGAGTCAACCCAGAGGGGGTGGACCACAAGTAGCACAAGGCCGAGGACGTCCCATAGGAAAGGGTACCAATAACCCAATACCGCGAGGACCACGACCTTGTCGCAGGTCAATAGTAAAGACTCGCACTATCGTTTGTGCGAATGCACGCTTCACCCCCCTTGTCTTCGCTACTAACTTGTATTAAAAATAAATAAAGTTTGAATATCTCACTTATTTTTATTGTAGTCTCGCTTTGCTACACTTCCGTGAAAACTGTTAACCTTCCTGTGTGGAATGGTAGCTTGTTGCGTTCCTTCCTGTTATTGGGAGGGTTTATTTGGTGTTTACTAGTCAAGCGTATTTCGTCACGTGTGGACTTGCTTGTGATTATTTTGTCATATGAGAAATTAATTTCTCGTGAACTTAATGAGATCTTCGGTCCTAGTGACGTCACCTGTGGATGTTCGGTCCTAGTGCTAGTGACATCATCTGTAGATGTTCGATTCTAGTGACATCACCTGTGGATGTTCTGTCCTATTGACATCACCTTTGGATGTTCTGTCATATTGACATCACCTGTGGATGTTCGGTCCTAGTGACGTCACCCGTGGATGTTCGGTCATAGTGACGTCACCATTATATGTTCGGTCCTGTACCGAACTTCCTGTTATGTTCACGTCACGTGTGATGTTCGGTCCTGTCTAACCTCTTGTGTTATTAACCTGTTTTGTACCAAACTGTGGTAGTGTATAGACTAGTGTCTAATTTTATTTGCAACTATTGTGCTTCTGTCTTGTGTCGCTTTGCGTGTGTGTCTTAGGTATGATCGTTTAGAACTTTGATTGTCTGCTAGTTGCACTTGTTCCATCGCCTGTGACCCCTGTTATGTTTTATATCAGATGGTACTTCTTGGCCCTATCACTATCAAGGTTGATTGTCTTGTTCTTATATGATAGGCTGGATTTGTAAGTCTTATAATTGATGTCTATGACTCTGTGCCTTGTGACTTGTCTTGTTTTTATAAGACCTCTATTATGTGCGAATTGCATTTATAGAACATGTGTGATATCTGTTTAGATTCCATCTAAGATGTTGTTTCTTAGTACTATCGAGTTCAGGACTAATTGTCCTGATCTCTTTTTGATAGTCGGGGTTGTTAATCATAATAATACTGTCAATTACTATTTGTCTTGTGACTGCATTATCTGATAAACACCTTGTGTCAATGTGATTTCTATCGTACTATCAATTTGATGTCCATCCTGGTTGCATTTTCAATTGTTTTAGTTCTTTGGTATCAATGTGAACAGCTTATGGTTTTGTTTATCATATTGTATGTGTCGATGTGATGGTTTGCTAATCCGATGTACCATAGATTGTTGTGTATATTGTT